TGTTGATGATAATAATTGATAATCGGCTTCTCTTCAATTGACGAAAGTTGATGAGGAGAAGGAGCGCAGAACGAAATTATAGTAATGCAAATGAAAACACTAAATTATATTTTATAATTTTAAAAGAATACTAAATATAAACTAAATGTGAGATTTAGTTCGCTGCTGATAGAAAGTTTAGTTTTATGGTTAAAAATTCGTGACTTTACCATCTGACGTCGAGTAAATACGTAGACGGAGCTTAATGTTAATACGATTCCTACTGAACAAATGATTGAGGCACCGTAGCCAAAGCAGTATTTCTTCTTCCTTTGTATGATAAAAGAAGAAGAAGAATTGGAGATGATGACAATGATATCTCTTCTCTTAAGATGAGAGAAGGAGAAGAAGAAGAAGAAGAAGTAGAAGAAGTATAGAATTTAAGTTTAGAGTTTTTGAAGAAGAAAAACTTATTTTATTTAATGAAAAAAATTGTACCACCTGCCTAGGGACGATGAAGATGGCACATGAGTATCCGCCGTCATTAAACATTGTATGTAATTTCTCTTTTGAAATATATTTACTAATAATTACGATGTAATCGAATTAATGAAGAACGAAAATCTCCTTTCATTATTCTGCTTGTTTTAAAAACAATTTAGAGACCCCTCAGAAAATGAAATTGCTTCATGTTTATTCAAGTCTAAGAGCTGTTGGACACAAGTTAGATAAACATTTAGTCTTCATGTTGAGTGAACAAACTTTTCTCTTTCAAAATTTTGAACAAAGTATTAGAAAACTTATACATGTAACGTAAAAAAAGTGAATATGTGTAAGAATTTTGTAAAGTGTACGACAAAAGTTTAAACCATTTTCTTTTATAGTTTTTTCTCTTCAGTGGAAAACATTTAAAGAGATTCAAAGTATGATATAAGAGCCATTAAATGTAAGCCACGACCTAACGTGCTCACTCGACTATTTCAGATTTGTTTCAAGATAGGGGGTTCTCTAGAGCAAACATTTTCATGAATTTTGTCGGAAAGCAGAGGTCCTAAAGTTTTTGAGCTTCTGAGATATTAATTTTTGCGAAAAGCCCCAAACATCTAATATTTCGCCATCTTGAAAAATTGTTAACTTAAACTATGTGTAACTTCGTATTGACATATGACTTAGACTAATCAACTTTATCATAAATATTAGATATTGTTTACTACAAACTCATGCAACCGCGAGCTCCGCACATGCTTTCGTTCTTTTGCAGTAGATGACGCGTTGACAGCCCCAATCGTCGATTCGGTCAGTTTTGGCGATCAACCCTATTGAAACAAAACGAAACATGAGATCCTCAATTATATTTTCAGATGGACTATGTATTGGCCTGTTTCTGAAATCTTTCTGACAGTCTCAAGTATTTTCGTTTTCGATGTACCTTGCCCCAAAGTTACCAATTTTAGCAAAATGCATCATTTTGGCAAACGGTTTTCTCCCTGAAAATCGGGCGAATTTCTCGCCGTCTATGATATTGCTGGAGTACACCAAGTGTACTATCATGAGCCATGATGGGATTTTTGGGATCTCTAAAATGTCTTAGGGAGTCTAGTTGGAAGGATCACGTTTCATAGCCACCGTTAAATCAGCATTTTCCTGGTACGAGACACTAGAAGAAAGATCAAAATCAACTCATATAGGTAATTTTCGACGAGAAATTCAATGGTGATACTATAACAAATTGATTTTTACATTAACGTAATCCCGGGGGGATTGTACCCCGGAAACCTCTCCTTTTATTTCCATTGGCGAAATTTTCAGTAAAATTAACCGTTTTCATGGCATCAATCACTAATATTGCACTAAAGCAGTTTGATCGAGTATGTTTGGATGCAAAGCTTTTTTTGGCTACTCTTCTGTAGCATATTTAAATTTTACATTTTAAAGGCCATTGACATAACTATGTTCGTTGGCGTCTTATCAGTGCTTTCACTAACGGCTTTTATCAGTCTTGAATATCTGAAATTCTTGATTCTTTCCACAATTATGCTCTGATATAAACTGCGTTTGTTTTGTGGAAAGAAATAAATGTCATCATTTCACTATAATCATTTCAATTCCACGAAGGTGTGCTCTACGAATAGGCAAATTCTGCTGAATGATCCTGTAATGCTGCCAGAACCTGGTCTAGTTCTATTAGCATTGAGGCACAAAGCGCTTCATATTCTAGGTCACATCGAGACACCCTGTATGAATTGGCATATTCTGCTGAATTCTGCTGTAGAATCTTGGTCAGTTTCACCATGATTGCATCAGAATTCGTTGCATATTCTCCAGGAATCAGCCAAACTCTAGGAAGTAGTAGATTCTACTCAATTCTGCTGTAATTCTAGCAGAATCTGGTCCAGTTCTACCAGAATTGAACCAAAATTCTTTTCAACATCTCTATTCTACCGAGATCTGTCTACGAATAGGCATATTCTGCTGAATGATGCTGTAATTCTGCCAGAGCCTGGTCCAGTTCTATTATCGTTGAAGCACAATTCGCTTCCTATTCTGCATCGGTCTCCGAAACGGTGGATGCATTAGCCGATCCTCCTGCATTCTGCTATGGTTCTGGCAGAATCTGGTCTACTATCGGATCCAAAATACAAGATTAGTGCTTATTTATTGAATATCTCCGTCATCCTGATATAGATAGCGACCCGTGGTTTTCAGTAATCGGAAGTAGACACTTAGAGCCAACTTTTCATAAGCAAAAACCAGTTCTGAAAAGGTTAGAAACTTTGATTTTCAAGCGGATCTTTGTAAAACCAGTTTGCGATTTCCAAAACGGAGGTTTTTCAGAAATCCGCTAAAAAATCAAATGCATAAACTGGAATCCCTATGTAACGTTTTCGACTCGATCTGCATGCTATGATGTATTCTGAGAATTTTCTGAAAATTTGAATCCTTTAGGATGAGATATCAGTGAAATATACGCTTTTTAATCCTACGCGGTAACAGGCAAAAAATCGGATTTCCGCCAAATTGACTTTTCTGAAGTTGGGGAATGAAACAAACATCGTCACCATGATCAGCATGGTCGGTTACGTATGTTTCGACTCTCTTTCAGGTCTTCAAAGGTCGAAAAGGGTTAGACCCGCTGGTCCGCGGGACATCCGAGCCCTTCAAAAACTAGCGAGAAACCAGATGTCGCTTAGATCCAGATTGTACAGGATAGTTAGAACTACAGTGCCATCGGAAAAAGTCGGTCGGTCTGTATGTGAGTTTTGGAAACGGCAAACTGATTTTCCAAAGATCCGCTGGAAAATCAAAGTTTCTAACCTTTTCAGAACTGGTTTTTGCTTATGAAAAGTTTACTCTAAGTGTCTACTTTCGATTACCGAAAACCACAGGTCGCTATCTATCAGGATGACGGAAATATTCAAGAAATAAGCTCAAATCTTGTATTTTAGACCCGATAGTAGTTCTACCAGAATGGAACCAGAATTCCCTTGATGGGCTCCATCATCCTGAGCTAAACTCTACGAATTAGAAGATTCTACTCAATTCTGCTGTAGTTGTTGCAGAGTCTGGTCTCGTTCTACCAAATTTAAACCAGAGTTCTCTTCATCATGTCTGTTCCACGGAGGTATGCGCTACGAATAGGCAGGTTCTGCTCAATTCTGCTGTAGTTATGGTGGAATCTGGCCTACTTATGCGAGAATGGAAACCAGAATTCGCTTCATTTTCTGTATCACACTGATATAGGTTCGACGAATTGCAGATTCTACTCAATTCTGCTGCAATTATATGGGCCAGAATCTGGTCCAATTGTGGTCAGATTCTGGGAGAACTCAAAGAATCAGACTTGAATTCTAGCAGAATCTAACCAAGCAGATTCTGGCACATATAATTACAGCAGAATTGAGCAGAATCTGCATTTCGTAGAGCATATATCAGTGTGATAGAGAATATTTTGAGAATTCTGGTTCAACACTGGTATAACTAGACCAGATTCCGCCAGAATTACGGCAGAATTGAACCAGAATTTGTCAATTCGTAAAGAGGGTCTGTAGACAGTTATAATAGTGCACGCTGAGATCCGCCCACTCCCACACAACTCCAGCTCTGCTTTTGCCAGGATCCAACCAGAATCTAGTAGAACTATAGTAAAATTGAACCGGAATCTACCGTGTCGTAGATAGGATCTGAATGCCAATTATTATAACTGTCTACAGATCTTCTCTACGAATTGGCAGATTCTGGTGGAATCTGGTCCAGTTCTACCAGAATTCAACAATAATTCTCTGCATCATCTCTATTATACGGGAATATGCTCTACGATTTGGGAGATTCTGCTCAATTCTACTGTAATTCTCCCGGAATCTGCTTTAGTCTGGTTAGATGCTGGTAGAATTTAAGTGTGATTCTCTGTGTTCTACCAGAATTTGACAACAATTGAACCAGATTCTGGCAGAAATACGGCAGAATTGAACCAGAATCTACCAATTCGTACAAAGCATCTGTGTGTAAACTAATATAACTCTCCACAGTTCCTCTCTACGAATTGACAGATTCTACTTTAATGCGGCTGTCAGAATTCAACCAGATTCTGAACAGAATCTTAGAAACAGTACACGTTTGAATGTATCGAGTTCTGCCAGTTCTAGTAATTTCGACGGAATCATAAAACTGGACACTGCTGATAGTTTGATGAAACACACACTGAAAAGAGTTGTGTCGAATTGTATAACTCGTCGTTGAGTCGAACATCGTTCAGAAAATCACATTTCTGCGAATATTGTTCTTCACTTGGAGTGTTTAAAAACTACAGACGAGAAGAAGAACTCATTAACATGTATTCAAGCACAAAAGTATTTTTCTTGAATAAACAAAGCAGAATGAAGAAAACATGTGGAGGTAAGACGTTGTTCTTATCATCATAGATTACAAAAGAAAGTAAAACAAAACAATGTGACTTTACTATTGCAACAAAAATGACAACAAGACGAGTACAGTGTGTGAAACAAAGTCTTTCTGATTCTAGTATGAAAAACGTGATTTTGTGTTCGTCTCTTGTACTCATTGGATTTATCACTTGTGTTTCCACTCAACCTCCAACAGCCTTGGATAATTATGTAAATAAAGTTGATCTATCTTATTCATGGTATGAAATAGTAGAAAAACGTTTTTCTGGCCCCGGTTATCAAGGTTTCACATTAAATATGACAAGTCAGACTTGGTTAAAATCCACAGATTTTATCGGTCAAAATCCAAACTGTCATATTTGGTGGCATCAAGTCCTCATTGTCATACCCATAGTCCTTAATCCAAAATATGCGACGACATCAACACTTTATATAAAAGGTGGATACAATGACAATAGTAGTTATTCCAACGGTGATCAATTTAATTCTATAGTTAATTTTAGTTTAAATCTCGGTATTATTGGCGCATTGTTAAATCAAATTCCAAATGAGCCTTGTATTTTCTCTGCCGATCCACAACGATTACAACGTACAGAAGATGGAATAATTGCCTTTGGTTGGGCACAATATTTACAAAATACATCTCAACCAGAATGGTTATTACGTCTGCCTATGGTGAAATCTGTTGTACGTGCGATGGATGCGATAACTGCATTTGTCTATGAACAATCAAAAACCGAACTATCGATTAATCAATATGTAACAATGGGAGAATCGAAACGAGGATGGACAACATGGTTAACTAGTCCAGTTGACAAACGAATAATCGGTACTATTCCTATAGTAATGAGTGTATTAAATTTTCAAGAAAATCTGCATCATTACTGGAGAGCTTTTAATGGTTGGTCATTTGTATTTGAAGACTATTACAATGAATCTATCACAGCTCGCCTAGATACGTTAGAAGTAACGCAGATGATGTCTATTATTGATCCCTATATGTATAGTGAACGATTGAAACGAGTACCAATATATAATATTGAAACAACTGGAGATGAACTTTTTATGCCTGATGATTCATTATATTGGAGAGAAACCGGTATGAAAGGTATATTTCATCAGAGGATGATGCCAAATTGTGAGCATTCATTAACAGAATGTCGACCAGATACTATGGCTGGTATACAAGCTTGGCTTATAACATTACTCTCAAACGATTCATTCCCCCGATTTAAATGGTCAATTGCTAATGGTAATGGTACAATTACAGTTCAACCTGAGAGTGGCATTTTAAGTAATGTTTTAATGTGGTATGCACATACTTTAAGTAGTGAAATACGTGATTTTCGTGAATATAGAATGGGTACAGGAGGTCCAGATTCCCCACCTATTTATCAACCAATTCAATGGTTTTCTCAACAGTTAAAACCGAATCAAGATGGAACATATACAGCTTGGATGACAATTCCCGACTCGGGTTGGACAGGACTCTATGTTGAGATGCGGTACACTGCTCGAAATGAAAATATTTTACATTTTACGACTGATGTTTCTATCATTCCCCAGACATTTCCATTTTCCGATTGCCATGGAACGGATTGTCGAGGGACATTATTATAAAAGTTAACACTAAATTAAATTATCATCTGTGGTTCTAAGTGCAATACATGGAGTCGCGTGCCATTATCCTCGATCAAAATATTTTACTTGAATCTTCTAAGCTTTAAGAAAAAGAGTATTTTGAAGAAAAGTAAAAAAGAACTTAAAATAATCGATCATCCCATTGAGCAAAACAAAAATGTTTTAGTTCGCATAAAACCACAACAGTTGGTGAGAGAAAAATCTTATTAACGAATTCAATTTGACCGCAACGGTTGACCGCATTTAAATTTGAAGGATTGTAACATGATGGCTAGATAGCTCAATGTGTTCTCTACAATTCTGTCCAAGATCGATCTCTCTATCTACTGTGGTTCTCGAATGGCAGGCATTTACCCGACAAAATAGTAACGAATTTTGGGTGACTCAGGAAAATGCCTGCCATTCAAGAACCACAACGGATAGAGAGGTCGGTCTTGCGCAGAATTGTAGAAAACACTTTGGGCTATCTAGTCATCATGTTGAAATTAAAAGTCCACCACAGGCTCAGAATCTGGCAGTCTCATCATTTTTCATCTGTCAGGTACACCACCTATAAAACAGAGATTTTTAGCACAAAATATACAGTGGCGGCCAAAATTATTTGTACGATCAGTGTTTGCTCATAATTCTGTGACCAAAGTGTTTTTTTAAATTGTAAAACTACCAGGAGGTTGCCCGTTGGCTCCGCTCTCTATGGTAAAATCTGGCAATCACTAGGCCTTTTGCATTTAGACTTATGGCTATAACACTAGAAAGGTTTATGTTTTTTTGGCCAGAATTATTTGTCTAATTGGACATTCGTATTGTGCAATGGTAACAACTACTACACAACACGTTAGATCAACTTACAGTACAATAGCTCGTCTGCTTAAAGAATTTACGGTGAAAATCACGGTTTTTTACATACATACATATTAGATGCTTTAAACCGTAAACAGGCCGTTAGACCGTTTTTAGGCCGTTTTTTAGTACTTTATGTTAGAGCAATTTCAGAATGATTTTTCAATGTTTCAAGACACATAGAGTACTTTGGCGTAATTAGAGACACTCTTTGAAATTTTCGTTGTTTTTTTGCTATTTCTTGGCCGTTTTTGATAGGAAAAACTTGCTATTGAACACGGTGGTAGACCGAACATTTTTCTACACGCTCACATAAAAATTACACGAGTGTCTCTATTTACCCCAAAGTATAAAAAAAGGAAAAAGAGAATTTCTAGTTCTGTTGATTATATGCTAATTAGCTTAATGAGTTTAAATGATAATGAGCTCAAAACTTTATGATAGAGAGGGGAAGGTCCGGGCCACAAAATGAGGTATTTTTGAACTAATTACCTAAGCTTAATTAACCAGCAATTGTACATTAAAACTCCAGGTATTTTAATGGAGTGTTTCTATTTACCCCAAGCGTACAAGTGAAGTGTCACACACTCTGATAGAGATCTGGCTCAAAACTGGTCGGAGATTTTCAAAAGATTTTTACGTGAGCGTGTATGTGAATGTATGTGAAAAAATGTTCGGTCTACCACTCTGTTCAACAGCAAGTTTTTCCGATCAAAAACGGCCAAGAAATAGCAAAAACAAAACGAAAATTTCAAAGAGTGTCTCTAATTACCCCGAAGTACTCTATGTGTCATGAAACATTCAAAAAAATCATTCTAAAATCACTCTACCATAAAGTACTAAAAAACGGTCCGTTAACTGCCCGTTAATGGCCAGTTGATGACGAATTCCTTTGTGAATAATAAATGATTTGGAAACGTTCAGCAACCGGTCAGTAAACGGTGACCGTTTGCTAGAAAATATCCTCTTATTTCGATAAAGCAAATAACCATTATTACTACTTGAAATACCCAATTTTGACAGAAAGTACATAATCTTATGTTTTGGGTTTCATCTGTATGTGTTTACTTTTCGTTAGTGCTAAAAACTGTACATTTAGTACCAAATAAATAAACTTTCCCGATTAAAAAATTGTACCGTAAACACTTTTGCACAGAGTTTCAGGTAAGTCTTAACTAATCGAAACATTTTCGTTTGTCAATAAACGTGTATAGAAAAGAACTGCATGGAAATTACACATAGATTAATGTGCAGTGCTACCTTTTATAATAAAATTCGTTCTAGACATTCTGACGCGTGTTCGCAAGTGAAACTTTTTTACGAAGATATTAATGCGAAAAATCCACGCGCAGTCACTACACGTTTTTCGAGTTTCGCTAGTGGTCACGCGGCAGAAACATTACATATATGTTTTCGTGAACTGTTCACGTCTGGTCATAGGCGATAACTTTTTCATGCGTGGTCACATATCTTTTCACTTGTGACGACGTGCGAAAAATGTGATGGAAAAAATTTCGTGCACAGTTCACGACTGGTCACAAGCGGATTATTTTTTCACGCGTGCCAACACACCATTTACGATGTTCACCTGCGCTCACATTCCGTTTCGAGATCTTCACGGGTGTAAACGCCGCGGTATGTACTAAAATTTCCCCATGGGTAGAATGCCAAATGAAAAGATATCATCTTTAACTTTGTCTTCCCACCTCTTTCGAGGGCGTTTCTCTTGTGGGAAGTATGAAAGTGTCATTTTCTGCACAACTGATGGTTCGTTATTTCTGTTGATCATTCTGTTGGCATGCCCAAACCACCGAAGTCTGTTTCTACGTAAGATACTGTCAATTGGTGGCTGTCCCGTGATTTCTAAGATCTTTTATATATAATCATCTCTCTTCTAAATTCACGGTCATATTAGCCTGATGATGATACTGTGAAGTATTGAAAGCTCGCTTTTTATGTAAAATTATGGTATAAATCTTTGATATTGCAATAAAAAAAACAAAAAGCAATTTAATCTACAGTCACAAATCTAAACCGAAATGTGGGGAAAAACAAGAATGATGATACGTATTACTGAGGAAAGAATAAAAGCAAACAGTGCTAGCCATCAACTCCATCGCAAAAAATGTGAGAACTTCCAGTAAGTGGTATTTGAGCACGGTAGCGTCTCCTTCGTAGTCACTACAGTCTGCAGTTCTTCACGCTGTTAAGAAAGAAGATGGTGCGAACAATTTAAAGAGACATCTCATCCGACTCGAGCAGACGGCTCCTTGTCTGAAGTTTCGACTTAAATCTAACGAAGTTCGATCTTTTGAGTGTTATTAAACCCAGGCTTTCTAATGAGAATTTTCAGCATTTTCTGCACAACTGATGGTTCGTTATTTCTGTTGATCATTCTGTTGGCATGCCCAAACCACCGAAGTCTGTTTCTACGTAAGATACTGTCAATTGGTGGCTGTCCCGTGATTTCTAAGATCTTTTATATATAATCATCTCTCTTCTAAATTCACGGTCATATTAGCCTGATGATGATACTGTGAAGTATTGCAAGCTCGCTTTTTATGTAAAATGATTTTATAAATATGTTTTTCAATTATATTAAATATACTTAGTTTTATAAGAAACGTAAAAAAGTCAAAGAATGTCAATATATTGGGGTATTTACAATTATAGTTTAAAATTGTTAAATTTTATTGCGTACAGTTCGATTGAGAAAGAGGACGAAGAAGGATATTAGAAAGGAAAATGCATTTACGTGACTCATAGTACGATAGGATCGTGCCGTTCCTATGCGTTGAAAATTTCTTCACTATTTTATCTCACGTAATAAAGTTCTTAGACTCTCTCTCTCTCTTTCAATTAATGGCCGACGTTAGTCTAGCTGATAGGCCAGAAATTATTCTCCGATTCGGTTTCCACAGCCACTTGCGTCTGTTAATAGTTTACACCCTCATTTCACGCCACTGTTGGTCATTTTCTCCTCCTCTTTAAGACGGAAGTCTGATTGTTTAGTTACAAAAGAAAAGTCATAAATAAATCATTTGTTTTGAAATGCTGATTACATTCCGCAAGAAGTCTACTTTGAGTAGCATTTTGAATTTGACGGAATTTTCGAATTTATCTAAAATAATTAAAACAAATTATAAAGATAAATCTCTAGGGCGCGGTATTGTAGAAAAATCCCATAAAAGAAATTTTGCTGAAAATTAAAAATTTAAATTATCTTCGAAAATCATTAGAGAATTCGTTAAGAAACAACAATTGATTCACAAAAAAGAATTCTTATAAATTGTGAAAGATGTAAAAAGATGTTTATCTCTTTATCTAATAATAATTACAAATATCTTTTTACTTCTTTCATAATTTATAAATATGCTATTCTTGTTAACAAATGAATAATAATCGTGCTCTGTTATCAAATCTGCTACTATTAGGATTATTCTTCGGTAAACGCTCTAGACAAGTATGGCATATTATTTGTAACATATTTTCTTCCAAGATATGATTTTCCTTCTAGAAAAGACTAATAGAAAGTTGCTCAATGACTGTTTTACAACCGTAATTTCGTGTTGTATCATAGACGTAGTTATACAAGTATTTCAATATCGGCTTGAATATGTGGCGCACATTAACATGAAACGCTAAACAGCAATAAGTTCATTATTGCAATTCTTCTATTCTATTTCATAAGGTTTCATTTGGTTTACGATGAATCATTCAGGCTCTATGAAAATGTCTTACGTTTCTGTCGAGGACATGTGAACTCTGTTAACTAAAATGGGTATATATTGCACATATCAAAACAAAAATTGTTCAATCGCTTACGATAATATGAACGGTAATATTGAATTTCGAGCAAACTCAGCGGCTGCATTAACAGAAGGCCTGCAACGTGTCATCGAATGGCTGAAAGACGTCGCAGTTGACCAATTGTATATGACGCAATTGTGGCTGTCATCACAAGAAAATGATGATGATGAATCGACACGACAAATGCAACTCATTTCAAATAGTTCTATCAGTCACAGACAAAAGTAATATACTACTGTGTATATACTACTGTGTATATATACTACTGTGTATATGATACTGTGAAGTATTGAAAGCTCGCTTTTTATGTAAAATTATGGTATAAATCT